GAGGGGCATCTTGCACATCAAAGGAGAAGGGGTCCACAAAAATTTAAAATGTGGCTCTGTGCGTCTTGAAGTCTGCAAATCTGTGATCAAATTCCTCCTGTAGCTTCAAAAGGACATCAACGTACTTCTCACCACTAAATGGTGTGCCTGCATCCACAAGTGCCTTGCATGCTGGGAAATGGCAAAGGTTTGTTTGAGAGAGCTGGGCTTTCCATAACACAAGTTTTGTGGAGAAGGCTCTCATGTTGTCATAGGCAGCACTGATGAGTTGCCCCCTGGTCTTGTAACTTCTTGTTCAGTACATTAAACTCATGTGTGATATCAACAAGAAAAGCTAAGTCCATGAGACCATTTGGGACCACTTAGCACAGGAACGGTCACGCCATCCTTCTCCATGAAGGCTTTCACTTCTGCTCTCAAGTCAAAGAATCTCTTCAATCCGTTTCCCCTGCTGAGCCAACGTACCTCGGTGAAGTAGAGCACATCCCCATATTCTGACTCCATTTCCTCTAAAAAAGCATGGAACCTTCAGTGCTTTAAGCCCCTGGATCTGATTTGGTTCATGCATTTCACAACAACAGACATCACATTGTCAAACTTTAGGCATTTGCTGCAAAGTGCCTGCTGATGGATAACGCAGGGCAGAGCAAAGGCTTCCTCCACACCTTCCTCTTCTGTTTTTTTTTAAACAAGTGCCACTAATCCATTTTTCCTCCCTGTCATTGGTGGCGCTCCATCAGTTGTTATTCCAACAAACCTCTTCTATGGCAAACCAGCATTCTCAATGGCATCACACAACTGGTCAAATATCTTCTGAGCGGTGGTCTGGCCATGCATTGGAATTACCGTGAGCAACTCCTCCATCACTTCGAAATTGTCATCAACACCACGGACATACATTGCGAGCTGGGCAGTGTCAGTGATGTCCATGGTCTCATCAAGAGCGACTGAATATACACCGAAACATTTGGCTTTCTCACACAGTTGGTCATAAATGTCACTTGACAGGTCAGAAATGCGCTCTGCCACGGTGTTGGCAGAAAGGCTGATGTTGCTAAACCAACCTTTCGTTTCTGAGCAGAGTATACTTGCAGCCTGTATTATGAACTTTTTGACAAATTCTCCTTCTGTGAATGGCTTTCCTGCTTTAGCAATCATCTCATTAACCACATAGCTAGCTTCAATTGCTGCATTATTCTCTTGGTTGCTTTCTTGAAGAAATCTTGTTCCCTCAGTAGACATGTTTTAAGATTGGAAACCCAGTTGGCTCTCTCATCTCCCTGGTATTTTGCATACTCCTCAGTATGTCTAGTTTTGTAATGATGTTTCAAATTTTATTGCTTGTGCACCACAACTTTCTCTGGGCAAGCAAGACACGTCGGGGGGCCCCTGTGCTCAACCAAAAATATTGCATTTCTCACTTTTCCTGAAATTGTCTGTGCTCATCACCAACTTTTCTTTTCACTACAGGCTTTGAAAAAGACATGTTTGGGGCTGTGTAATATATATAATTCCACTTGGTGTCACTGTCGCATTGAAGTTTCAATCAAGCATTTAGACGACACACGGCGAACGTCTCAATGCTTGGAGAACATTATTTCCGCTTCTTTTTCTTGTAACCACAGCACGGTGGTTAGCGGATAAAAGCCCAGTAGGAGTCTTCTTTGTTTTTACGCTCGATGTTCATGTCTTTCATGATGATATGAACACCATGGCCCCACAATAGGTCGTCCAAAAACAATGACACAATATCTGTATATGCTAACAGCTCTAAAACACAGAAGGGAATTTTCAGGCGCACAAATTAATGTCTTGTCTTCAGCACTACTGGAGGGCTGTTTCAAAGGAATCCCATTACAAAGTTTCATATGCTCATGTGGTGAAGAAATTGAAATGCTTGCCAATGTGGTATCGTTTTACTCCTTCTATAGAGAGGTGTGCCAAGAGCTAATTTGCCCCTTGTTAGTTAAGAAGCCAGCTCGTTCTTCTGATTTCTATGTGTCTTTTCTCCTTGCAGACCAAGATAAGCAGGTGGCAGTACAGTCAGCCAAATTTTAACAGCAGCAATTAAAATTAGGCCAAATATGATTGTAAAATAGTAACCTTTTATAGATCCACTTGTCTAATTTTGGCACTGGTATACTGTAGGTATCTGATGCATGTGCATTTATTATCTTCATTTTAATATGTTGATTTTATATCTTTGCAAATTTTATATTTATCGTGCTAAGGCCTATGGGTAACACAAATAAAATGCTATCTATATCACGAGGAATTTCTGAGTAAACAGCTGTGTTGTATTTTTGTACAGGATTGTGAGCGAGCGTGGGAGGATTATGCAGCCTTGGAAAATGAATTGCAGATGCTAAAGGGCTCCTTAGAGCATATTCGGAGAGTAGGGCATCCCCAGGTAAATGGTCCTCATCTCCAACTCTCATTCTAGTTTAACAAGCTTTATGAAATGATAAGATCATGCATAAAAGCATCCTTATATACCGTAACCCTCCCCAATCAAATAATAATAATCTGAGAAATGCAGAGCTAGAGGGGACTCTATGGATCATTGAGTCCCAGTGGGGAACTGAACTCCCAACCCTTAAACCACTGAGTTATCCAGCAGTTCGTAATTAGGTGTGATACTTCGAAAAGCCTAAATAAGACATGGTGGCACTGTGGGTTAAACTGCAGAAGCCTCTGTGCTGCAAGGTCAGAAGACCTGCAATCGTAAGATCAAATACATGCAACAGAGTGAGCCCCCGTCACTTGTCCTAGCTCCCACCAACCTACGGTTTGAAAGCATGCAAAATGCAAAAAAAGTGCGAGTAGATAAGTAGGTACCACCTCGGCGGGAAGGTAACAGCGTTCCGTGTCTAGTCATGCTGGCCACGTGACCATGGAAGATTGTCTTCCAACAAATGCTAGTTCTATGGGTTGGAAACGGAGATGAGCACTGCCGCAGAGTCAGACATGACTGGTCAAATTGTCAAGGGGAACCATTACCTTTACCTTATTTTGAAAAGCCAGTTTTTGTCAGCTATATAAATAGTGCAAATGAAATCGTAGTTTTTCTGTATCTGTTCACTTTGCACTGATTATTCTTTTAGATTATAAGTAACAATCTTGCATCCAGTCCATAAATCTGTAAAACATTTTTATAGAACGTTATGTTTTTTCATAAAACATCACCTTGGTTCTAACTAAAGCTAGTGTTTAATGCTAAAACATTCCTTAACTGATAAAATCTTGTTGCATACATTGTTTTAAGAATGGGTCAACCAAATGCATGGCGGCTTTTTCTTACTATAGTATTGAACTATTGTAAACATACATTTCTCATTGCCTACATATCAATTTATTCTCTTATATTTTCTGCTGTTAAATTGAATGTTTCTGTTTAGCTGGAGGAAATAGGGAGAGATTAAATAATAGAAAACCCTCCCTCTCTTTTGCATCCTTTTCTTTGGGCGCTACCCTGCCCATTTCAGGAACTCCATATTTGTAGTTTATGTCTGCTTCCACGAGAGTTGGAAACTTGCTACCAAAAAGAAAAGCTAATAGGTATACTTAATAACTGCATTCTGCATTAAAAAAAAATTACCCGTCTCAGAAACTTAAAAAATTATTTAGTTGTGCTTAACTCTGATTTTGGGATAGCAGAGATGTAATGCTGGTTTCGGTAAGCTCCGTCAGTCTAATCCCTTCCTCTCTATAGGACCAAACGGCTGCTCAGCAAGATTTATGGAGGATCCATGACATCCTGGCAGGACTGAGGTCCAGCCCAGCCAACTGTCACACCCTGGAAAGCAGAAGATCAGGTGCTTCCTGCCATTCTGGCCTCACTGTGGGAGGTCGTGGTCTGTGACCTGTGCTCATCAATGAGGAACAGTGGCACAGGGCGGTGGGGGGGGGCGCTCTTTCTTTGGCAGATGCCGGCAGCCTCTGATGAATCCTCCTTAAAGTCTTTGGTATTCTTCATGGCAGGTGTCTCTCCAGCCAGCATCCCAGTCCTGGATTCTCATCTGGGGGTGAACCATAGTCCTTCGCTGCCTGGGGCCAGAATGGAGGTATTGTTTGTTCCCTGGACAATGAGGTGTCCAACGACAAGGTTACATCACAGTCATATCTTTGCCTCCAAAGGACAAGGTGGCTAGGGGTGGAATTTTGGAACTTCAGCATCTTCATTTTCTACTCTTTATGATCTCCATCTTACCTTGGTAGTTATAGTGATTATGATAATGACTGAGGACACCTCCCCTCCTGTTCTGTGCACATAATACAACTTAATGAGTTTGGCGCATGGTCTGGTCATGGGCTTCAATGACTGGAGCTAGATAGGGGATGATGGGAGTTGTTGTCCAATTTATCTGTGGGGAGGAATCGGTTGGGAAGGATTGTGATATGATACCGTTGTACTGTAGAGCAGTAGGCTGCTCTGTGTGCTTTTCGGGGAAAAATAGAACCAAACACAAGTTCTGTTCATTCTCTTTTTACGGAAACATGAAGGAATCTGAAGTCGCCCTTCCTCCAAAATCCAGCATTTCCTTCCATGAATCCACCCTCAGCCACACTTTGGCCCTGGGAGAGCCAAGCAAAACTATGAGCCAACTGGAGAGCAGACAGCAGGATGGCATTGGTGCTCGGGGTCAGCCCGTAAGTCTCCGCCCCCCTGTGTCGGGCTCAGTTCCGATCCACCAGCCCTGGCTGCTTTTGCCGGGGAGGGTCCTGAGCTTGAGGTTCCTGTGAAACTGACATATTTTTTGTCTTCTCTGCCAGCCAAGTCCGCCTACTTCCAACAGAGGGCAGCAGGGGGCTCCATCGCACCATTCCAATGGGATCATGGGGTCTCCCACCCATTGCTCCAGCCAACCCTCAGAACTTGAGAAAGGGAATCCAGCAAGGGGAATACATCCTGTTGGTCTTGGTGAGTACAGTGGTGCCCCGCATAGTGACGATAATCCGTTCCAGATAAATCATCGCTATCCGGAAACGTCGCTATGCGGGGGGAAAAAACCCATAGGAACACATTAAACGGAGTTCCTATGGGGGATAAACTCACCGCTAAACGGGAATCCTTCATAGGGCCGCCATTTTCGCCGCCTTGGTAAGCGAGGGCAGGGCGCAAAAACGGAGCGGGCGGCCATTTTTTTCTTCCGGCGACCATTTTGGAACCGCCGATCAGCTGTTTTTAGAACATCGCAATGCGAAGATCGGTAAGCGAAATGCTTACCGATCATCGCAATGCAATGTTTTGCCATTGAAAACATCATAATGCGATTGCTTTTGCAATCGCAAAAGTGACATCGCTATGCGGATTCGTCAAACGGTGCGCTCGCTATGCGAGGCACCACTGTATACACCATGGGGGCGGGGTAAGATTTCAATGTGAGCATGGGTTTGCAAAAACGACACTCACATACACAACCTAGTTACAATAATCTAATAATCTGCAACTCCCAGAAACTCCAGCCAGCACAGCTGTTGGCCAGGGCTTCTGGGAATTGCAGTCCAAGAACACCTGGGTTTCCCAGGGTTGGGAACCACTGATCTAAATGAATCATTATCAAGTCAGGAATGACGATCAGGCATATATTCTCCTTTCTCTCTTCAAAGAGTGGCCCATCCGTCCATTACCCATCATCCCTGTTCCCCTTCCACTTCCAGTGAAGACTACACTGAGGGAATAAGAGCCCCTTGCTCTTAATCTTGGGCTTTAACCACCTGTGACTCTTGAAGAGAGGATCTTGCTAAGCACTTGGAAACAACTAAGCAAGGCATTTGTAAGAAGCGCCTTGGGGTTCCCTAGTAGTTCTGCATGAAGCAGAAATTAGAAAAAGCAGGAAAGCTGCTTCTGTGTCCTGGGGATGAAAGCTCACAAGTTATTGACTTGTGTTTTTCTCATATTTCTTATCTTCACAGATCATGGAAATCATACCAGTGTATTAAACAAGGATGCTGAGCACAGTGTGGCCAAGGTATGAGATAGCTTTCAGAGCTAAGGCAGCAGAATCTAGTCAGCATGTCAGAACTGAGGGGAACCTGTGGATGGATTTCTTGATTTGAAAATTAAACTAAGGCCCAAAGCCGTTTATATAACAACAGTCTAATTCGATGAAGTCAAACTTAGTAACCAATGATCCATCTGAGATGTAGAATGCATACTTTGCAAAGAATGCTTTCAAAATAGCAAATTACTTGTAATGCTCTTTTTTTTTTAAGTCACTACAGCATGGCTAAATTAGATTATGAGTTAATTATTTTCTCTGTTTGTGGCATATTTATAGTTTTAAAATTATTTTTCATTTTAAATACAGGGCTGTGGCCTACTTAGGGTAGCTTTTTGCCACAGGCCAGTGGCAAAAATTTTGATGCTGGCTTTCAAACAGAGTAAGATGTTCATTGATTTGAATAACAAGAAAAGCATTTACAGTGGTGCCTCGCATAACGAGCGTCCCGTAGAGCGATTAAATCGCTTAACGAGGGACTCTGGGCCATCGCTGGAGCATTCGCTCGGCGATGGCCCCATGGAGGTTTTTCGCATTGCGATATTCGCTAAGCGATTCGCTTAGCGAATATCGCATAACGAAGCAGGGGAGAACAGCTGATCGGCGGTTCCAAAATGGCCGCCGGAAGGTCCCCGCCACATTTTCGCGCCCTGCCCTTGCTTACCGAGGGCGCGAAAATGGCGGCGCTATGGAAGAACTTTGCACAACGGTGAGTTTTCAAGCCATAGGAACGGACTGAACGAAGTTCAATGCGTTTCTATGGCATTTTCATTTCCGCACAGCGATGTTTCCCATAGCGAGGGTTAATCCAGAACGGATTAACCTCGCTATGCGAGGCACCACTGTATTTAAAAAAATTGTGGCTATAGTAGTAGGTTAGGATTTTTGTAACTATAACAATAACTATTTTCAAAAGTAATTTTCCATGTACTAATAAAACATACCTTATAAAGGATGGAAAAGACCAAGGCTGAAGGAAGGAAAAGGGCCGTGTGGCTAAATGGTTCATGTGTAAAGCAACTACAGAAAGCAAAGTCTCTGCTTTGACAGATGAATAGGATCTAGGGACTTAACAAACATTCCTGTTTCCTTCACACCTAGGTGGCCTCTTCTGAAACAACAGTCTCACGTAGTGGCCGCATGAGTGCCCAGGAGCAGCTGATCAGGATGCAACGAAACCAGGAGGCCAGAAGAAAATCAGAGGCTGCGCAGGCCAGCACTCAGGGCAGCTGGCGAGACTCTTTGAAGCGTGGGTCCGGCCGGGTGGGTGTGAAGCCTTGCACGGAGGAAGACTCTAGACATGGGAGAGTGGTGAGAGACAATGGCAAGGACTCACCCATCTTTTACATTGAGTCACCAAGGCTTTGACAGGCCCTGGGGAGCCGTGGTGAAATGATAGATTTTGAAGCACAAACACTCACAATGGCAGTCCCCATAGCCAGCTCCCCCTAAGGAATGTTGAAAACTGCAGGTGGCGGTCTAGCTCCATAGCGACAAACTAGTTTTCACCACCAGGAGAGGGTCTTTTGTAAAGCTAATAGGTCTTAAAACCAAAATGTACATTACAACACAGGTCAATCACAGTAACACGTCTTTACTGGAAAAATCTATCTCCCCTCCAGCTGCTGCAAGGATGGCAAACCAAACTCACAAAGAACAAGGAATCCTGGGATTGGGGGGGGGACAGATTATACCATTCTGCCGGCTGATCTAAGAGTCGTGGGACTCTGACCTTGGGAGCCCTGTTTCCATTACAGCACTGCTGGGGAGTGGATGTGTACATGCTTAAGTCCAGATGGTAGCCAGGACATCTCAATACCTACCTGGTGGGGGAGCAGTACTTCTACAAGTGGTGGATTCTTTGGTGCATGTCTTTTGCTGGGTATTGGGTGGGGAGCAGATTTTTGTTTTGCTTTGTTCTTTTAGTTTTTAAGAAGGAAGAAGAGCATCTGGTGGTCTGCGATAGGAAGGGGGGGAAACCAGGACTCCTGGATACTCTGGGTTGGAGATGAATGGGCTCATGTGATCCTTAGATATGTATAGTAAAATGCTATGGCTTTTTATCATGAGTGGGGAACCTCAAGCCTGGGGCTGAAACCCACCCTTCTAAGTCCCTAATCCATGCTTCTGTTCTTACTGAGATTGCTTTGCCTGCCACTGAAATGGCACTATCATTTGGTACTATACCGGTTTTGCTCTGGTTTTCCCTATTCTAAAATGTTGCATTGCTTTTCCTAAAGCTAAGGGCACGGTTACACTATGGAAATAAATTGGGAGCTGGATTGAGGTTTTGAAGTTGTTTAAAATCACATTGTAGTCGCATGGTTTGGGGGGTCAGTGCGTGCATCCTCTTGGGAAAACTTTTAATCCATTTTTAAACTGTGTTGTATACCAGTCAGGGGCTCTACATGGGTTTTTAAAACCATTGCATTTGAGGCTTTGTCCTGCACAGCCCTTGCACTGGCTGTCTCTCACAGCTACTGCCGCTGGGTGTTATTTGAAATATATTTTAACACCTTTTTAATTTCTTGTAATCTGGCATAGTATGACAGATAGAAAAAAAATTAAAACAGATCAGACTGCAAGGTGCCCCTGCAGCCTGATACATATGCACAGACACACATGCACACGTACACACACATGCATGCTTGCAAATGGGTGGTGGTGGGGTTTGAAGAAGGAGAAGGAGTGAAGGAACCAGCAGCCTGGGCTGGTCAGAGGGAAGGCCCATCCCTGAGTGCCAAAGAGAAATTGACCAGAGAAATTGACAAGATTGGCAGCTTAGCTTCTAAGCCTGTAAAGGAGTGCTTTCCTCCACCCAGCCTTTCTCCCTCTGATTGGACTGCAGCGTTTCCCTGTGGCCTGAAACCGTGATCTTGGCATCCCTTGACAAGCCCCACAGGCACAATTTACACCAACAGAGGCATTCACATCTGCCAAAATAAGCTGTAAATCAATTTAACCATCAATCTAAAATAAGCAACCCTTTCGTAGCTCAGTAAAATACCTTGTTTTCCAATCAACAAACAAACAAACGAAATGCTCCCTGGACCAAAAAAAAACCCTCCATGCTTCCCAGTGTGTTGTGTAGTCAGAATTTTAAAAACTGATTTTAAAAACATGCAAAACCCAATTAAAAACATTTTTTCAGTGTGTAACCGTACCCTTAGTTACTCACAATACAATTTCAAAATAACCCACATTTTTGCCGGTGGCTCCTACTGCCACTGGAAGGCAGTCCCCTCTCCCAACTTATCTGAAATTGAATCAGGAAATTAAATTCAGCCCTCAGACTAAAAGAGGTTCCTCGCTCTTGGCTTGCACAAGGGGAGACTGCGATTAAGGGTTCCTGCTATTCTATGCAGCAAACTTTGTCCTCCAAACAGCTAACCATATCTTTAAATAAAAACCAAAGGGAACAACCGTCTTTGTTGCCATGCTTACAATTTTGGGTCAGTAAGGAGGGCTTTGCTTTGTATGGGGCAGGGGGGCCGAACTGTCTTGCTCATGCCCGCCTCCCCCTCCCGTGATTTAATCTCTCCTTCAGCCCCTCCCCAATAACTCCCCTGAGTCATCACCCAAGGAGGGCGTGCAAAGTGGGGGACTCAAGCCTCCTCGATGCCCCCCAACCCCCGAATGGGAACGACAGCGAGTAATCCAGCTCTCCTACGCGCTGGCAGCAGAGGCTTCGCAGCAGCGGGGGAAACGCCTTGCAGGTACTAGGAAAGGCAGCCATGACTTTATGGGTTCTGTGGAATGGAAGGTGGAGTAGAAGAGTCAGGTAGCCCAGAGGACCTCTGGGTTCTCCGAGAAAGGGCAGAGGTTGCATTTATTTTTTTCCCATCCAAACAGACCACTCTCACAACTTGAGTGAGAGGATGCATGCTGTACACACACACACAGGGTCACCTGTTCAGTCTCCAGAAATCCTGGTCAGCACAGCTAGTTGGGAACCACAGATCCACACAGTCTGTGCCTGACGTGTGTCCATTTTTGTATTAGGAGGTATTTTCCCAGTAAAGACCCTGGGGCATCATATGTCGGTTACTGCATATTAAAAGGATGCACTATGTTTTACACGTATAAAACCCAGCACAGGAACACTTGAGGAGACACTAGCGTTATATTGATGAGATTTAGTATTTATTTGTTCATTTCAAATATTAGTATCCTGCCTTCCTCTTTAAAAGGACCCAAAACAGCTGACAGTATTAAAAAACAAACCATATTTAAAACTAAGAACAATAATTACAGGATTTAATTTAAAAAATGCAATATTAAAACTAATACGGGATGGATTGTAGAAGCTACTTTTCAGACTGACTGTGTGGACCGGTGGTTGCCCACCTTGGATCTCCAGATCATCTTGGATTGAAATGCCCACAAGCCTTCCGCACTAGCTGTTTGCCAGGTGGGAGCAAAGCAAAGGTTTGGGAAGGAGAGGAGAAGCCAATTAGGGCAGTGCTGAAATGAAAGCTTTTCAGACCCCTCCCCCTGCCCCCATACTGTGCCTGTAAGCCTCACTGCGGAATGGATTCTTCAAGGAATCCTCCCTGCTGATTTCAAAGGGTATTCCATGGATGGGTTCAAAGGGTAGCTGTTTAAAAGAAAGGAAACCTGCATGCCAAGAAGATGTGGATTCCAGAATGTGGAGGGGGGAATGACACAGGAGAGGGCCTTTATTAAAGGAGGTGGACCGAATAGCATGCTTTGAGTTGAATATGCCATGTGGATGCAAAGATCACACCACATGGGATACTAAATCTCTACCCAAGCTTAAGCTACCCTATTGATCCCTCATCAACCTGCTCCAAATGAGCAGTGTTGCCAAGCCCTCAGTCAAAAATTGTAATATTTATGCCATCTGTTCTACTTGTTGCTCACAAAGGTCAGGTGCTTCAATGGTAGCTGAAGGTGGTCTGGTGTTTTTTTCCCTAGGAAGGAGCAGCTCTCACTCCTCCTTAGATGATAACTCTGCAACCCAAGAAAGCCAGAATCATCATCACCTCCCGAATGACAGCATCTACAAGAACCCAGAATCCAACAGTAGGACATCTGAGCATGACTATAAAGCCACTCTAAATCTAAGCTGTAGCAGTAACTCTGGAACAACAAATAAGGCATCATCTTCATCTTATCCAACCAATCAAAAGCCATGTGCCTTGAAAGCTTCAGACTGTTCACTGCCTCACACTGATGAGGACGGTCAATTGTCATCAAAGCCCAAAAGTCAACAGTTGACATCACACCTAAAAGAATCAACCAATAAGGAGTCAGCTCTGTTGGACAGTCCTCCCAGGGTGGCAACCGTACATCAATCGGCCAATCAGAACTTGTGTTTTTCTGGAGTGGCTGACTGGCCTCCGACTGTGTTATGGGACAGTGAGGTGTGGGCCTCTGAGCATAGCCTTGGGGGTAATCAGGGAATCCCAGCCAATGGTAGGTGCCCCAAGTGGAGAGGTGAGAATGCATCACGCCAAGTGGTCAGCTACTTCGGAGACAGTACGCGGCCTGTCAAAGTCACACTGGTGAAAACCAGTTTTTAGTTTATATGGTTACAGAGGGTGGGGATACTGGTCAGGTGTAAAGCTGCTAGCCTGCCAATATCTAGAGGTCCATCATGAAGAAATAAGATAAGGGGTTGGCAGCAGCAGAGTGCAGTTTTCATGTCCATGGTGTTGACTAATACTCCATTTTGATAAAGTATCCAACATCTTGTAACCTCATTTTAAAACCTTGAAATTTTAAGGAGTCTGACTCATGCACTCAGAAACACATTCTCTTACACGCAGGCATCCCCACCTGCATATATGCACCTATAACTACGTATAAAGGAGCATACCTTGCCCCATCAGTATTAACACTCAATCTTCACATGCCAGTTTAGGCTCTTGTTGTACTATGTAGAGTGCTTTACACTGTGTTTGTGCAACAGTATGTTGCTGTTAAGTACGTTTATGGTACCCAGCTCCCACATGAAACTGTGATGTGGGAATTGAAAGTTAAGCCCCTTTCTGGAGCTCAGTGATTGTCTGGGGATACAGCATTCTGTGGTTCTCTCTCTTTGAAATGAGGGAAATGTGTCTGAGATCAAGCGATGTGCCCAGGGCCACTCAGTGAATTACTGTAATATCTATCCAGACCAAGGATGTATGTATATAGAAGCCTGCCCAAGGAAATAGTTACGGGAAGGTGCCAATATAAAAAATATGAGATCCATACTTAGATATTCATTAACATTCATTAACTGTGGGAAACTTCTTCATCCACATGGAACTACACATTCACACCTCATTTTGCCAAGCCATTTCTTGACACATATTACCTTGTTCGGTCAACATACTACCTTCTTCAGAGAAATCTGCAGAAGTTACTGGCCACTCAAATGATTTAGCTAGTTGCCGATCAGTGCACCCTAATGGTGCGAAACAACAGCAACAATGAACTCTTGAGTCTACCAAGATTTACTTTCATCATCCCTTGAAGGCAACTGATAAACCACCCACCCTGTGGGTGTGAGAGGAGGAGATTGCGATGGCTTGGTGTGATAGATCTCTGAGGAGGCCCATAGGCCTAACAGAAATGATTTCTCAGCATGTTAGGGGATGATTGTTCTAGCATTCCACTCTAGCAGGTGTTCATGTTTTCTTGGCCTTGGTGGCGCCCTGGATATATGTGCCATCTTTCAGGAGCAATGGGGCTGTTTATTTGAGGCAATTAAATTTAAAAAAACACATTATATATCATTTGCTGAGTGTGCGTACCCACAGCTAAAGTGCCCTGGCTCAAGGGCTTTGCTATCAGGTGATTCAGGAATGCCTGCAGTTGCACAGTGTCAGGAAAAGGAAAAACCAAGGGAAAGGGGGTCTGGTCTGCTATTGGGAATGGGTGAAGGGGGATTTTGCATCCTGTCAAAGGCGTGGGGACTTTGGACCACGGAGGAAGGATGTAGACACGCAGTAGACAGGCGGGTCTGCTCAGGGAAACACAAGGGATGTCTGGTGAAGTTTGGTGCCCATTAAAAGGAGCAGAGCTTGGAAAGGGGACTGTTTTGTGCCACACCTTGCAATTTCTCACAGTCCCCATGATCCATGACCATGCTTGGTGGGGGATTCTGGGTGTTTTAGTCCAAAGGTGTAACTTCTCCAGGGAGGGGAAAAGAGGCACTAACTTTAAGGGAAAAGAGGCACTAACTTTAAGGGAAGGATGTAGACAGGCAGAAGACAGGCGGGTGTGCTCAGGGAAACACAAGGGATGTCTGGTGAAGTTTCGTGCCCATTAAAAGGAGCAGAGCTTGGAAAGGTGACTGTTTTGCGCCACATCTTGCAGTTTCCCACAGTCCCCATGATCCATGACCATGCTTGGTGAGGGATTCTGGGTGTTTTAGTCCAAAGGTGTAACTTCTCCAGAGTCTGAAAGAGTGTCCCTAATTTTAATGTAAATAAAATCTAAAACTGGCACACAAAAGGCCCAATGGCGGGCAAAGGGCTGGCTGAGGCTTGCGGAAGCGCTAAACAGCCCATATTCTGGAACAATTTACATAAAATACGTCTCTACTAATTTATTCTTTTACACAAAATCTTGGCTAAAAAGGAGGAGGGAAGAGAGTGCAGGAGTGGGTCAGACAAGGTGATGGGAGGGGCAGGGAATGGGAATATGGATAGTTGTAGTAGAAGTGGGATGATGGGGAGAAGGCAGCCGATTAGAGACATTGAAGCACAAAGAGCAATGGTCTGACACTGCAGGGGAAGAGACAGGGTATTTCATCTCCACCAGTAGCTCATATTCAGGTACTGGAATGAGGTAACTCAGCTTCATTGGATGCTACCTCGTGGAACCCGCTGGTCATCAGAGCTAGTTGTGGAAGTGTCCATCACTATGCCCTGGTGCCCTAAGTTTTTTTTTTTTTGTCTCAACTCCTCATTGTGCAGAGAAACTCAGATTTTGAATTCATTTCTGAAGATTTTAATGGAAAACTTAGCAGGCAGCTTGCCAAGATCAGAGTAGTCACAGCAAAAAAAATAAAATAAAATAAAAAATAAGAGAAACACAATATCTTTAAAAATATGCCTGCCAAGATCAGAGTAGTCACAGCAAAAAAATAAAATAAGAGAAACACAAGACCTTTAAAAATATGCCCTGAGACCTCTAGCCATGCAAACTGAGTGAGGAACCCTTGTGCTGTCAGCGACCTCCAGCCATGCAAACTGAGTGAGGAATCCCTGTGCTGTCAGGCACCAGCGCTGCCAGGGTTAACTGGTTTTCAACAGGGGGTGATGCTGCATCTTTGGTCCTACGCCCAAGGAAGTGGCTACTGACACAAATGCCCTTCCCAGCATTTTAACACAAGCCGCATGCCATCTTTCTGTGTATGGATGATTCCAATTTCTGTACTCAATAAAAGTCTAACATTATGCTTCCTTAAGTGTCTGCTACTTTGTTCTAAGGCTGCCCTATTTGGCCATGTTAAACCCGTCTTTCTGCTCCACACACTTTAATATAAATGTAGGTGGGGAGGGAAGGCAAAGCTTGTACGTATATTGCATTTACATTCCACTCCTGAGTTTTATTTATTTTATCCCATTGGAGATATAGACACGCTTAAGGCTGGAGCCTTCAAATACAGTTTTGAGGGCGTTAATCCCATTAGAAATAATTGGCTGGCTTCTGAGTAAACAGAAAATTACACTGTATATAAAAAAAATACTTTTCATTATGTCACATGTTTTAAATTAATGTGGAAAGCAAAAGCACCAGCACTGTTCAATTTTTTCTGCTCTTTATCTTCTTTTGTACCATAGAAAAGCATGCAGCCAAACTGCAAATCATGTCCTTCCAAATTGAGTAATCTATCATTTTCTAAGGTTATCCATTCTTTTATTCAGTCTAATAGCAGGATCTATAGTACAAAACCCAATCTGTTGGCATCTTGCATTTAATTTTAATTCTTGGTTTTTAACCACTTTCAAGTGAAGTGATTTACAATAATACACAAAACCTTTTATATTTCTAAGAAACAAAATACAATCCAGTCAAAGAAAGCCTATGCACTTTTTTTTGCTCAGAAGAAGCAAGTCTCAGAACTATACAAGTGTGAACACCGATTTTACTTGTTTGCTCAGACTTCATCAGAGATGATTGAGTGGGACTTAAAACTTCGAGAACCGTTTGCTACTCGAGAGGAATTCCCCTCTCAAAATCAGTGGGACTTCCGTCTGAATAAGTACTGTAGGCAGGTGATACGGTTTATACAGTATAACGACCACAACAGGATTTAAAGCCTTCCCAATAACTTGTCAAGCGACATCCCGCCCCTCTCTAGGAGGGATGCTGTGCAAAAGGAGGCGTGGCCGATGGGTTAAAAAACCCACATGTTGCGGCTTCTGCCTCCAAAACTCGGCTGGCAATTGAGAGGAGAGGCGACCTCAGCAGAAATGGCAGGGGAGCTGCGATACCCGTGCAAGACATCAGCTGGAGTGGCAGGGGAGCTGCGCTACCCGTGCAAGACATCACCTGGAAAGGCAGGGGAGCTGTGCTACGCGGGCAAGGTCGTCATCGTGACGGGCGGCACCAGAGGCATTGGCGAAGCGATCGTGAAAGTGTTCGGGGAGGGCGATCGGGGGAAGGCGATCGGGGAGGGGAGATCGATGAGAGCTGCTGCCAAGCAGGTGCCCGGGCTCCATCTAACTCTTTTAAGAGTTCCCCAGTCCAAGATATATTGTGATGGACAGAGGATGATGAAGTGGTGGGGAGAAGGGAGAGAGGAGTTCGCTACACGATTAGACGTACTTCCATACTGACTTGGAAGTTTTCTTCCCCAGTCCAGAAGCAGATTGTGGTGGAGAAATCTGGACGGAATTAAGAGGATAGTGAGATGTGTTCTGTACATGCTCCCAGGCTCTCTTTCTAGAGAGTGCGGTGCTTGTTCTCCCCATACTGCAAACATAGCTCCTTTTTTGTTCTTGAGAGCCTGATGGGGATTTCTCCCACACAGAAACACAAATGGGCAACAGCAGGTCATTTTCCTACCCCTGCTCCTTGTATGGTTAGAATGGGTATACCTTTCCTTCAATAATCGGCAGGTAGGCAGTCTGCCCACACCCTGCCCCAAACGTACCTGGTTTGGCCTGAAGTTCACATGTGGTGCTTGAACAAGAGGGAGAGCAAAAGAGCTTCTGATTTGAAGGCAGAGGTTTTCCAGATCCACCTCCAGCATCTCCAAGTAGCAGTGAGAGAAGCTGCTTCCTCAAACCTTTGAGAGCTGGGTGGCTAGTTGCCCCCAAGACCTGGGTTGGGGAGTGTGTGGTCCTCCAGATGTTGCCAGACTACACACTCCATCATTCTGTGTCAACATGGTATATGATGGAAATTGCTGGCCAAGACCTGAGGTAACTGGTTGAGGGAGGAAGGTGTTAAACCTGTCTGGGTGAGAGGAACCATTTGGTCTAATGCCAACATGTGATCTGAATCTCTTGGCATTGTCTTGCATTCACCTTTTCTCTCCCTCCCCCTGATGTCAACTTCCTTTCCCAGTTCACCAAGGAGCCAAGGTGGTCTTCTGTGCACAGGAATGTGAACGTAAGTCTGAAACATTTTCTCCATCTCCCCCCACACGTCTGCATACGTCTAGCTGAGCTAAAGGCAGTATGAGATTTTGATATTGAAGAGGCAAGAAAAAACGGAGGAAACGTGAGAAGGAGGTATGCAGGACCAGGGAGGTAAATGTGTAGCCCTCTATAGAGTTTTCGAACTACAATGCCTGTCATCCTTGACCATTCGTTGTGCTGGCCGGGACTGGTGGGAACTGGAAATCCAACTGGACAGCTACGGGGTTTACTTTTCCCTGTGTAGACTGAGGAAAGCAGTAATACATGAGTTTTTCGGTTTTTAAAGTGGCACACAATTGACAGGTATAGTTTAGCAAAAAGTTATAACGATGCAGAAAGGTCACCTGCTGAATTTCTGTCCTCTGTACAGCTGAGAAATGACCACAAAACCCTTTCCCTTTTTTTATATACTGTATAATTTTTATTTTTTGTAATAACTTGGGATAGGATAAGGGGTACAGAAGGTAAAAGAGGATATGTAAGGAAAAAACAAAACAATTTTCTAGAATTCATTGACAACCCAATTCCCAAAATGTCCATTGCTTTCAAAAGCAATGCTAATGCTCTAATTTAAGTAGCATTGGCTCCCCACTCACAGCATTATCCTGTGAGATTATCTTCACTTTGCTTGTAAATCTTAAGGGAAACTTCATTTGTGGTCATGAGGACTAGCAACTTGTGACACAAGGATTTCTCCCAGGGCTATGCTGTGCCTGTTCTTATGAAATATCATTGGAGGCCATCCTTTTCCATTTGCTCCAACCTTTTATGAGTCCTGATGCTAGATGGAAGTGTTTAATTGTGGATGTTTATATATTTATCTGGCTGGGAAAGTTTCCTCTAGTTGAGGGTATCTGGAGTAGAAATGCAAGGTAATAAAAATCAATCAGTTCCATTCCATTCAACTTTACATTTCCACTCCAGATAGCCCCACCTGATTTTTATCTGTAATAAAATCTATATGTTGCTTTCTCTATACTGGGTGTTTACCTGGATATATTGAGTTCACCTTTTTTTTCCCAAAGTATCACCTGATAAGACTTCACAAATGCTGCATCAGCTTCCACAGTAATATAAAAGTTCTCAAATTATTATTATTTTTAAGAATAAAACGTCTTGCAACATAAACTGGATTCCAACAGGTTCAAAGGCAGAAGTGCAAAGCCCACTAAGGGGAGGAGGGAATCACTGAAAGCTTCTTCCTTGATGTGCCCCCAACTACCACCACCCATCTCTGCTGTTCCTGGAACTCTGCACTAACTCTGTTTGCAACTGCTCTGTTGTATGCCTTTGTAGGGGAAAGGGGGGAAGCCCTTCAGAGGGAACTGGAAGAGTCTGGGTGCCCTGGAGAAGCTCGTTTTGTGGTCTGCGATGTTGGCATTGAAGGTGATATTAAGGTAAGCTAGAAATGTGGGAAGAGCAGGACTGTTGGGGTGCGGGAGGCTTCTTGGCATCAGCTTTTTGCTTGCTGATCCCATTCTTAAAATCCACCATTGTTCCCTGGGGATTGCAGTGGTATAAAAGATCCCACATCTGGAATGGCCTGGTTCTCCTAGGAGTCCAGATGCCTTCCAGACATGATGAGTAACAACCCCTGCCAGCTCTGGCCATGTAGGTTTCTGTTCTTGGTGGGGATCATGGGAGTTGTATTCCAACACATTTGGAATCTGCTAGGTTGAAGGAGGCTGCTCTCTTTTGCCACTCTAAAATTATAGGCATTGTTGTTCTTCTCTTGTCACCGTCCCCCCTGCCCAAAATCTTTCCCTTTATATATCTTGTTCCTTTTCACAGAATCTGGTTTGCGTGACCATAAGCCTGTATGGACGCCTCGATTGCCTTGTGAACAATGCCTCAGTTTGTGAGTAATTTTGAAAACAATTTGGATCTGGGGAGATACCGGGTGCCTGTGTCTTGTGGGATGTGGGAGGTTCCTTGAAGGGCAGGCCTAGGAACCCTGGAAGAGATGAAGTGTTGAGCTCACAGGTTGGATAATTAACATATTTGGTACTAAAGCCCCTGCCAGCATCATGGTAAGTTATACTGGCAGAGAAGAGAAACAGGAAGGAGACTCTAGAGTTGACTGTTTTATGTATTCAGTTTGTCTGATACATATGTTGATATGTTGTATGTCTGTGTTGTCTGGTGCGTTTAATGGAAAATGCTGAGTAATTGAAAAGGAAAAGGCAAGATTGCAAGAATCTTGTCTACTTTTCATCTTACCTTCATGGGAAAAAAAACCTTACTTTTGTATTTCCACTTCCCAACAGTTCCCCCTTTACAACCAATAGACAATGTGTCCGGAGAAGAATTCATCGTTCTGGGGGACATCAATGTTACAAGCTATTTCTTAGCAGCAAAGGTCAGTGATGTCAGTCATCATCATGAACACTGCAGAACAGCAGAGCTGGAAGAGAGACACTGTGGTTCATTGAGTCCAGCCCCTTATCAGATATCAGAAGCTGCTTTATAGCCTGTCAGAATGTAGATCTATGTAGCTCGTTGTCTTCTACAGCAGCCTTCCTCAGCATGGCTCCCTCCAGAGATATCTGTTGAGGAACACTGCAAACACACTTTCAAAAAATAGTTTCCCCCCCTTATCCAGTTACATAACAACAACATAAGCAATTTATAACAACAATTAAAAAGCTACAATTCCCCCCCCCTTCAACCTCAGCAACAGCACTAATATAAAAGTTGCTTGTAAAGTTCAAGTGTCCCTTTGGATTCAAATTCAGATAAAAATCCAAGAGATCTCAACTGCTTTGGGTACCCAGTACAGTGGTGCCTCGCTTAACGGGCGCTCCATTTAGCGACGAAACCGCATAGCGACAATGTTTTTGCGATCGCTTTTTGATGTTCCCTATGGGGAAAAATCGCTTTGCGATGATCGGTACCCTGTTTCGCTTACTGACCATCGCAAAGCAATGATTTTTTAACAGCTGATCGGCGGTTCCAAAATGGCCACTGGGTAAACAAAATGGCCGCCCGCTGTGTTGCCTCACTTTAGAGGCACCGAAAATGGCTGCCACAATGGAGGATTTTCGCATAAGGTTAGTTTTCAAGCTCACAGGAATACATTAAACAGGTTTTAATGCGTTTCTATGGGCTTTTTAATATCGCTTAGTGATGTTTTCGGTTAGCAGCGATTTTTGCGGCACGGATTAACATTGCTAAGCAAGGCACCACTGTACCTAGAAGAATCAGCTCCACATGTGGAGTCTTCAAAAGTCTAACCCAAGTTGGCAAGTGGCAACCAGAACTCTGGCCTCTGCAGTTCTCCCTCTCTTTTTGATTTAAATTTCTTACTCACAGCCCTGTTCTTAGTCCCACATTTTTAGTCTGAACCAATATTTCATACTGGTTTCACTTATATACCACCCCAGAGTGCTGAAATCTCTCTCTGGGTGATTCAT